TCAACCGAGTCTCGAGCTCTTCAACCTTCTAGGCTCGGGCCAAACTCTCCCCCTTCAAACTTTGGAGTTGACACTCAACAGAAGACAGTTGGGCCCAAACCGCATCTTTCTCCGAGGCGAGACGGTCCATGCTATGCTTCCATCCCAAAGTTTCTGCCTCTTTCATCTTGGCCTCCTCACGAAGCTGCTCGACCAATTCGGCCTTCTCCTGAACCTGCAGGATCAAAGCGTTAATCGCCAATACCAAATTGATACATAACAAGCTCCCAAAAATTTGCATTACCCATTCGATGAGCTCGGTTTGATCTTGATGAGCTCTTGTCAGCTCGGCTCGAATGCTCATGATCTCCTCTTCCTTTTGCACATAGAGGAATTTGAGGGCGTCTCTCTTCTCCGTACGCTTTTTGAGATCAACCTCACATCGGTCCAGCTCAACTCGGTATTTGGAGGACGCTTCTCGGTGGAGCGCCGTAGCCTGTATAGAAAGAAAAGAAATCAGACTTAGAGAAATAAGAACAAACGCAAGCATGGTAGCATGGGCTAAAACTCACTTGGTTCAGAAGACGCTGAGCCTCATCAAAAATGAGTGATGCGTCAAGGTCGGAAACATCATCGACCCCCGCGAAACAGCCACGAAATATGTCATCCCCTTCGGGGGCCGTCCCCATATCGGGGGTCCCCATAAACCGGGCATCCCGAAACTGCCCCTCAGATAACGTGGGGCCGGGCGGCGAATCATCAATGTTAATTGCCCCAAGCAAGTCACTTGGGGCATTCGCTTCTTTTTGAAGGGCCTCGGAACTAGACCCTTCGAGCACACCGACCGATTGCTCATCACAGCAGAAGGCATCCTCAACACCCGATGACTCGGGTACTCTGCTCGGACCTTCCTTTAAGATCACCTCGGTCTGCGGCTGAACCTCCTCGACCGTCACTGGCTAAGCAGATTTTGAAGCTTCAATGACTCCCCTCTTCCGAGCCACCAGCAGGCAGTCGATATCTTCTCCCTCCTCATCTTCATCTCATAGCTTTTGGACTACATCGGCAGGCAGAACGGCGAGATCAGTCTTCAACTTTCGAGCCCTGCTTTTCTTATGCCTTGAGGTATCTGGCGGCGAGGCCCTTCTCCTTTTCTTATCTTTGGTCGGCTTCGGGACCTCATCTTCCCCAAGGGGAGGCGGCCTCATAACGACACTATCAACAAGACCTGTATGAGAAGAAATCAAGTTAAAAGAAAGTATTTCACAGGAAAGCATCAAACTCGGACAAGGGAACTTACCATGATTTTTGGCCTCCCATCGACCCTTGGCCAAATCACGCCATGATCGCTCAGCATACGAAGAGGTCAAAACCAGTTGCCGAACCCAACCTGCAAGGTCCGGGAACGCACCAGGAAACCAGGGGAAAGCTGCATCATAAAGAAGAATGTAGATGAAAAGAGGTAAAGAAAATATAACAAGTGACCAAACGATATCGGTGAAGTTCTACTTACGCTTCATGTTCCATTCTTCGGGGAATGGCATCTTCTCGGCGGGGATTAAATCGGAGGTCCTGACTCGGACAAACCGGCACATCCATCCTCGGTCCTTGTCCTCGTCTATGCTCGAGAATAGCACCTTCGTGGCCCAGCGTTGAAGCCTTATCAGTCCGCCCCGATAAAGACGAGGGTTGTATATCCTAATGAGATGATCGAGGGTGAAAGACATCCCCTCGATCTTGCTCGAGAAGAATCAGAGCAAAATGACAATGCGCCAAAAAGAGGGGTAGATCTAGCCTAGGGTTACCCGGTATTGGCGGCAGAAATCAATTATGACAGGATCGACGGAGCCCAGTATGAAAGGGTAAGTATACACACTTAAAAACCCTTTTCACATGAGTGGTGATGTCCTCTTCGGGGGTAGGAATCACCACCTCTTTATTCTCCCAGTGGCAGTCCTTTTTTACCTGCTCGAGATCGCCTTCGGATATCGAACAGATGTATCTAGACATCGAGTCCTTTTTTACCGGCCGGCCGCGATGAGGAGGCTTTTCCTTCTTGAGGAACGGTCTTTGATGTTTTTGCCATTGGTATATGAGGTTTAAGGAAGAAGAAGGCGGAATTTGTGTTTTAGTAAGAGATTGGTAAATGGAAACCGTTGAAATTGATGAACTTGAAGAAGATAGAAGAAACTTTTGAAGATTAGAAGAAGTTTGAAAATAAAGTTTGAGAAGATTATGAAGGTGGTCTATTTATAATAGCCACTTTGACGGGTTGAAAGCACTGGTGGCCGACCATCAACTGGCGTTAATTAATGACTTTAGGAACTGTGCAGACACGACGCTTCAGTCGCTTCTGTCACTTACGTCATGATGTTGACGTCATAATTGATTGAGGTATTAAATCGAAGTCTCAAATTCATTTCTTCTCGTTACACTCCAAAAAATGAGGGGACTATCTGTATACGGTCGAAATCAGGCATATCCGATTTCGTTGGTAGGGGAGCTGCCTCGAGGGTAACCTTATAATAGATCGGGCTCGAGCTCGAAGATAGAGCATCACACCTGGAGATCGAAGTGTCCATTGAGATCGAGGTCAGCAGTAATCGAGATAGAGCATGATTGACTTCGAGTGAGGTGTAATAACGGAATGGCGAGATATCGGTGACCGGTCGAAAGTCAGGGTGAAAATCCCGAAACAGATCAAATCAAAGTGGTTATTAACGCCAATCGTGGGGTCTATTTTCGTTATTAGAGTTGTACCATAATTAGGTTTCCTCTACTATATAAAGAGGAGTTCCAATCATTTGTAAGGCATCATTATTCACTAAGAAGAATACACATATACGCTGCTTTATTTGTCTTACTTACTGTTCACCACTGCTTGTTCTATCCTATATTGTTCGTAATAACTAACCTCGAGACTATCTCGAATCAAGGTCGAGGCATTATTTGCAAACTGGTTTGTTTTATTTTATTGTCCAAGTTATATATTTAATTTATTATTTATCAATTGGTGTCGGTCTAAATCACATATCCTTAAAACCACGATACAAGTTTAATTGTTACTCAATTTTTAGGGTAAACAAAAATAAATATAACTTAAACTCATTCTAGAAAACCACATTGGTTTTATTTCAAAAGAGAACCATAGTTGTTTTATCAATTTTGTGCTAAGACCTAACCACATAAATGCTGCCCAACTTTTACCCTCACAAAACTTTAAATTAAAGTAAATCAACCATGCTGCTAAGTATATATGCCTTCAACCTAAACCTTTAAATTAATTGCGGAGTAACAAGAACATTATAAACCCGTTAAGAAATTCTTACACAAACGGTGATTAATTAATTTCTTTTTTGTTGTTGCTTTTCTAAAGAATTTATCTGTTGCTCCGAAGTCGATCGGTTTTTAAAATATTTTATTTTACAATATTTTCTTTAAAACCGACCAATTTCAGTCGGCTTTTTCTTGGTTCAAAAATACGGCAAAACTATTTTTGCATCCCACGAAATTTATATTTCAAGAAACCGGCCAACTTTGATCGGTTTTCATTTAAAATAAATTAATATTAATATTCAAAAAACCCGACCGAAATCGGTCGGTTATTTTGGTCAGTCATATTAAAAAACTAACTGATTTCTGCTGGTAATTTTTTTAAAAAAAAATAAAACCTCAATTATTTTCAAGCAAAAATGCAAATAAAATTAAAAAAGGTCTTAAACCAAATCTAGTGGTAGAATAGTATCCTGCCATAGTATAAACCCCAGTTCGATTTTCAAATGGTCTATTTTTTAATTACATAATTAAAAATACCGACCGACTTCCATCGGTTTTTTCTTTTATGAACTTTAATTGACCAACCGAAATCGGTTGGCTCTACCGACCACACGATTACTAATCATCACGAATCGGTCGGTTTGCAGTCGATTTTTGACAATTATCGACCACATCGATCGGTTTTGGCAGTCGATTTTTTCTTCTTTTTTTTTTTAGTAGTGCTTATAAGTGGCTCACCAAATTGAAGAGTGAGGTTGAAAGAGATGAATAGTAGGCTCCACAACTTAAATATAATTATTGTCAACTTTGCTAAGTCAAACTCTAACTGACGTATAACTACGAACTAATTCTAAGCTATTGAAATAAAGAAAGTTAATTAACTAGTGACTAATGACCGGAAAGGGCTGGATTCTTGGGATTAAAGGCTTAGGGTATTGATTTTTCTTATTCTAGTAATGATAAATTAACACGTTTTTATTCAATCGCACCTCGCATTTTGCTCTTCGAAATAATATTGGGTCCTTTGGCTAATCACTAGAATTTAACAATTAGTAGCAATTCTATTTTAGTTATGTTTTTCAATCTAATAAAAGCTAACGCTATAGGAAACAAAAATAAAAATAAAGATAAAAAGGAAAAAGATAAGAAATTTGTAAAGGTGACCAGCTAAATATGGAACAATTAAGTGAAACTTTAGTTGTAGAGAAGGTCTTTGAACACCCTTTTAAATAATTAAGATCTTCACTAATCATGTTTTTCTATCTAAAAATAGCTCGGCCTACACTATAGGAAATAAAAATAAAAATAAAAGAGAACAAATTGAAATGTCACCAGCTAAATATGGGACAATTCATTGATGCACGGAGTCGTTTGGAATTTTTCATTTTTTTTTAGTATTAGTAATGTTTTGGTTAGGTTTTTTAAGTTACGGGTTCAAGCCGTGGAATACTTTAGAATGCGGTCCTTCTTCGAACCCTGCATGAACGTAAAAAATTTCGTGCGCCGGACTGCCTTTTTTAAAACTTTTGTTGTTGAGAAGGTCGTTGAATACTCTTTTTATATTTAAAAATCAGTTATTAACAGAACTTAAAAACAACAAGCATCCCATAACATTTACTTTTACCACAAAAAAAAAAGTTATCTTAAAGTTGCCTAAACGAGCACATAGGTTATAGGTTTGGTCACCGAAATCTTTCTTTTTAAAGTTTCTATAAATAGGAGAAAAAATGCAGGAATTTTAATCATTCCACAAATATCATTATCAATATCAATATTCACAAAATGGTTTACAAGACAAATAATATTTTGCTTATCAAACTTTCTTTACTTGTGCTTCTGATGATTTTCTCAGAGGTTGCTGGTAGGGACATCCCTGCTCGTCCTTCACGTCCATTACTCAAATGTAAGTTTTCTATCTTATTTTTGCTGCCTTTTATATTCTTTTGTAGCTATTTCTTTATGTGAAAATGGTGAAAAGGAGTACTCCTTTACAGTGGCGGACGCACGTGGTGGCAAGCGGGTTCAACTGAACCCGCTTCATCAAAAAATAATACTGTATATGTATAAATTAGGATTAAAGCTGCGTAAATTTTGTATAAATATTTTATTTGAACCCACTTGACAACTACTATTTTACGACTAAAGTTATGTAGTATGTACTTCTAAGATTGAACTCGCTTGCACAAAATTCTGGGTCCGCCACTGCTCCTTTACTGTATGAAATATCATTATCATGTGTTACTATGAGGTCATTTGTATCCTTGCTATAAGCAAATCATCGAGTTCCAACTTAAAGTATAACGAATGATAAAAAGTAGAGAGGGAAATTTTGATCTATCCCCAACTTAATTTGACATGAAAAATCCACAGTCAATGCTAAAGGCTCCTTAAAATCTAGGGTAAATATGAGCTAAACAATTTGCTAGCAAAAAGATAGGCATGATCTCAAGGTATAATAAATGATAGATTTAAGATATTTTTGTAGTAAATGAGTAGTTTTGGACCTTTCTCTTTGTTCTCTATTTGCATGCATCTTTTATATTTTCTTGTTGTTTTTTTCCCTGTGAAAAGTGTAAATGAAATATCTTTATCATGTGTTATACTATAAGGTCATTCGTACCATTGCTACAAGTAAATCATCGAGCTCCAACTTAATAACGAATGATAAAAATAAAGGAGTAAATTTCGACGTTCTCGAAGTAATTTGACATGTGAAATTCACACCATCAATGCTAGAGGCCCCTTAGAGGAAATACGAGAAAATTTGCTAATGATAAAGTATGAATGACCTTAAAGTATAACATATAATAAAATTAAAATATTTCTATAGTAAATGAGTAAATTTACCTTTTCCTGGTAAGAAATGAAACAAAGAGAAAAAAGGCCCTCTATTTGCATGCATCTTTCATTTTCTATAGGAGTATTATCACTTTTAGTCCGCGTCAGAAACTATTTACATCTGGTAGCCGAAAAAATATATAAAATTTGTATAATTTTTGTATATAACATACAAAATATATATATATATATATATATATATATATATACAAAAAATATATATATATTTTATATATTTTTCTGTTATTATTTTTACAACGGCTATACAGTGTCATTTTTCCTTTTCTATTATTATCTAAGAGAAATACTATTGTACTTGAATTTGGGTGCAGCAAATGAAGCTCAGGACACAACTGGGACGTTGAATGACCCAATTAAGCCCCAATGGTCGTGGGACGAACTTGTTGAATATTCATATTGCTCAGTGTACAATTGTTGTGATTCCTGAAAACCGAAGGATCATATTTCTCCTTAATATACTAAATATAATACTTTGTTAAATAACATGAGATTAGATCAAGAACTATTACTTTCTACTTTTCTCATAATATATAACACGAGTTGTTAGAAAAATTATTTAAAAAAAAAAAAGAAGAAGTTGCAGTGTTTACAACTCGAATGTCTATATATTATTGTGCATAAAGGCAGAGTCAAGAATGCCTTTGTACTCCCTAGCTAAAAGAATTTATATACGGAGTATAATGTAAGCTACGAGTTTAAATAAAGGAAAAATAGTAATGGTTTCTCCATTTGCTTTTCACGATTTGCATAATGCGATTTAGCAGTGTTGTTCGTAATTTGTTTTCGGTAACAATGTAAATATCACCATTGCCAACAAAAAAAATCAATACACCTACGGAGCACCTTAAATTCCATAGCCACCACCTTTAGGGGTGTACAAACCAAACTGGAAAATCGCACCAAATCGAAAAGTCAAACCAAACCGATTAAAAAACTCGACTAGGTTTGGTTTGATTTGGTTTGGTATTGAGTATTAAAAATCCGAACCAAGCCGACATATAAATATATAATTTTTTTATGTACAATTTTAAGACTTTATATAGACTTTTATTTAAAAGATGTCTAGAAATATTTGAGATCCTCTCATGAGATATAATATTTAATAGAATTATAAAGTGCATTCATTTTTATTTAATTTAAATTATAGATTGTATCACTTTCTTATTATGTATTATTGAAATTCGTCAATCATCTCTTTGTTCTTTCATATTCATATATCAAGATTTATTATATATTTTTCGAATTTGAAGTGGTATTTCGATAATCTAAAATTACATAGAACATATCATTATTTAGGTATCATATTGATTTTTTATTTAATTATTAAATTTGGTTAATCCTGAAAGCGTACATCAACCAAAAATTATTGGTAGACGACTAAGAAAATAAACTATTATGTGTTACAAAAAAAGTTCTCCCATAAGATCATTTTGATAGATCATATGTTTGTTATTTTTTTTTAATTTTTAGTAAACATATATTCACTTATCAAAATTTTATCTATAACTTTAATAATGCAAGATTGAAATAATATTCATGTAACAAAAAATCCGAAAACCCAAAAAAATTCGATAAAACCGAACCAATCCAAACCGATATAATTGAATTAGTTTGGTTTGATATAATCCGAACTAACCGATCCATGTACACCCCTAGCCACCTTCCTCAAAGGGTACTATATATGAAATATAGGCCTCCAACCGAACTAAGATATACAAGAATTTTCTGAAGTAGTCCATGACTTCTTTAGCGATTCATTTCATTTATGACTTATGAGTTTTTCCATAATATTTGTAGTAATATTAAAATTTAAAATAGAAACTTATATATTATAACCATAAAGTCATAAATGGGTGTGTTCATAAAAATCCGAAAAATCAAAACAAACCGATCAAAAATATCGATACTTTTTTTGTTTGGTTTGGTTTTGGTTTTGAATTCTAAAAACCGATCAAATTTGGTTTGGTTTTGGTTTTAATAAATAAATAACCGAAAAATCCGAACCAAACCGACTATAGAAGTAGCTATTTAAAATTTACTATTACACTTATATATATGTATATTTTTATACAAAGTTTCTGAAATTTTATGATTGTCACGATCCCAAATTTCCTCCATAGAATGTCGTGATGGCACCTAGTCTCTAAGACTAGGTAAGCCTATCAATGCAGAATAACAATAGAAATCAGAAATAAATAAATCTGCAAATTCACATAATTACAACTCCTAAAACCCGGTAGAAATAAGTCACAAGTTTCTAAGGATTTATCCTCAATATCTCTATATATCAAAGTCTAACGAAAATAAGGAAGCAACGCAATAAGGATAGAAGGGGACTCTGGAGTCTGTGGACGCTGGCAGATATACCTTGAAGTCTCCTCGTACGGCTAATTCACTGATGCCTGGTCTGATAAGATGTACGTAGATCTGCACAAAAAGATGTGCAGAAGCGTAGTATGAGTACACCACAAAGGTACCCAGTAAGTACCAAGCCTAACCTCGGTAGAGTAGTGACGAGGTCAGGTCAGGCCCTACTGGAATAATAAAAGACAGGGAGAAAATTTTAAAAACATAATAACAATAATGACAATGGGGATAAATCAAGTAAGTAGTATGTCACAATTTAACTACACAGAATAAGGGCAATTAACACCTCGCGGAAGAAAAACAGAAATTTACAACTTTAAGGAAAATACCAAAAATAACCAAAGACAATGCATCCATAAAGAAACATCAACAAGGGCACTCCCGAGGTACCGCCCCATAGTCCCAATAATAAATAAATTCACAATATCTCATTTCCTTATATCACCGCGGGAGCCTTCACATTAAATTTTAATGAAAATATTTTTTCCGAAATGGCATCCCGCGCTTTAGCCACCCTTATCCCGAAATAGTTCCCCTACTAGCCACGCGTATCAAGCCACCCTTATCTCACCGCATGCGTTTCAACACCTAGACCTTATACCACCGTATGCGTATCAATATCACAATATATCACAATTTTCACCTCAAGTGCCAAATATTTCAACTTACCAAAATAAATCAACAATAGTATTTTTCAGCAGTCTCCCAACTTCAATTCTTGATTCGTTAACCATCTGAAACTCACCCGAGACCCTCGGGACCTCAACCAAATACACCAACAAGTCCTAAAATATCATACAAACTTAGTTGAAACCTCAAATCACATAAACCAACGCTAAGACCACGAATCATACCCCAATTCAAGCTTAAGGAACTTAAGAATTTCCAACTTCTACATTCGATGCCGAAACCTATCAAATCAAGTCCGATTTACCTCAAATTTTGTACACAAGTCATAAATGACATAACGGATCTATGAAAATTTTCAGAACTGGATTTCGACTACGATATCAAAAAGTCAACTCCCCGGTCAAACTTTCCAAAAATTTAACTTTCGCCATTTCAAGCCAAACTCCACTATGGACTTCTAAAATTTTTACGGTCACGCTCTTAAGTCCATAACCGCCATACGGAGCTATTGGATTCATCAAAACTCTATTTAGGTGTCATTTTCACATAAGTCAACATCCGGTCACTATTTCAACTTAACCTTTAAACCTTGGAACTAAGTGTTCCAATTCATTCCTAAAACCTCACTGGACCCAAACTAATCACCCCGGCAAGTCACATAACAAATGTAAAGCATAAATTGAGCAGTAAATGGGAGAATGGGGCTACAACTCTCAAAATGATCGGTCGGTTCGTTACATTCCCCCTCTCTTAAACAAACGTTCGTCCTCTAACGGGTTTAGAATTATACCTGGAGCGGTGAAAAGATGAGGATAACAGTTGCGCATATCATGCTCGGTCTCCCAAGTCGCCTCCTTGACCGGATGACTCCTCCAATGCACTTTAATTGAAGCAATAGTCTTTGATCATAGCTTTCTAACCTGTATATCCAAAATGGGCACTGGTTTCTTGACATAAGATAGATCCTTGTCCAACCGGACTGAGCTGAAGTCTAACACATGAGACCGATCGTCGTGATACTTCCGAAGCATGGAAATATAGAACACTGGATGAACTGCATAGAGACTAGGTGGTAGTGCAAGTCTGTAAGCCACCTCTCCAACTCTCTCAAGAATCTCAAAAGGTACGATATACCTCGGGCTCAACTTGCCCTTCTTTCCAAACCTCATAACACCCTTCATAGGTGAAACCCAGAGCAAGACCCGCTCACCAACCATGAATGCAACATCACGAACCTTTCGATCCGCATAACTCTTTTGTCTAAATTTGGTTGTACAGAGTCGATCCTGAATCAAATTAACCTTTTCTAAAGCATCTTGAACCAGGTCTGTACCCAATAGTCTAGCCTCGCCCGGTTTGAACTAACGCACTGGAGACCGGTACCGCCTACCATGCAAGGCCTCATACGGAGCCATCTGAATGCTCAACTGATAATTGTTGTTGTAGGCAAACTCCGCAAGTGGCAAAAACTGATCCCAAGCACCCCCAAATCCATCACACAGGCACGAAACATATCCTCAAATATCTGAATAGTGCGATCGGACTGTCCGTCCATTTGAGGGTGAAATGTTGTACTCAACTCTACCCGAGTACCCAACTCTCGTTGTACGGCTCTCCAAAATCGTGATGTAAACTGTGTACCCCAGTCATAGATGATAGATACCGGTACGCCATGAAGCCTAACAATCTCGCGAATGTAAACCTGAGCCAGCTGCTCCGAAGAGTAAGTAGTAACCACAGGAATGAAATGAGCTAACTTGGTCAATCTATCCACAATTATCCAAACTGCATCGAACTTCCTTTGAGTTCGTGGGATCCCAACAAAAAAATCCATAGTGATTCTCTCCCATTTCCACTCTGGAATCTCTAACTTCTGAAGCAATCCACCGATCGTTGATGCTCATATTTCACCTACTGACAACTTAGGCATCGAGCTACATATTCCACTGTCTTTCTTCATCCACCTCCACCAATAGTGTTGCCTCAAGTCTTGATACATCTTCGTGGCACCTAGATGAATGGAGTACCGTGAACTGTGAGTCTTTCGAAGAATCAACTCACGCAAACCATCTACATTAGGCATACATAGCCTGCCTTGCATCTGTAATACATCGCCATCTCCAGTAGTGACCTCCTTCGCATCACCATGCTGAACTATGTCCTTAAGGACAAGCAGATGGGGGTCATCATACTGAAGCTCCCTGATACGATTATACAGAGAAGACTGAGAAACCACACAGGCCAAAACTCGGCTCGGCTCGAAAATATCCAATCTAAAAAATGGCCAAGGCCTGAACATCCAAGGTTAAACGCCTCTCTACTACTAGTAAGTATGCTAAGCTGCCCAAACTCTCTGCCTTACGACTCAAGGAATCGGCCACCATATTGGCCTTTCCGAGATGATAGAGGATGGTGATATTATAATCCTTAAGCAACTCTAACCACCTCTACCGCCGCAAATTAAGATCCTTCTGTTTACATAGATGATGTAGACTCCGGTGATCGGTATAAACCTCACAATGGACATCGTACAAATAATGCCGCCAAATCTTCAAGGCATGAACAATAGCTACTAACTCAAGGTCGTGGACCGGATAATTCTTCTCATGTAGCTTTAACTGTCTGGATGCATAGGCAATCACCCTACCGTCTTGCATCAACACAGCACCGAAACCAATGTGTGATGCATCACAATACACAGTATAAGACCTTGAACCTGTAGGCAATACCAATATTTGGG